GCTGATTTTTTTAGATTGTTTTTTTTACCATATTTTTTTCTTCTGTATTTAATGTACTAAGAATTGAGCTATATTGTTGTCCCTTTTTGGAAAAAAAAATTTCTAAGTTCTCATGATTAATTTTTTTAAATTTAGTTTATTTACTAGTATTGTTGATTTGTGTTCCTTATTTGAAACTTGTTTTTGACAGTTAAGTATTATTTTTTTATGAAAAAAAAAAAACAGACCCAAGATGTATCACAGGTCCACAAATAGTATAGTCTACTTGGCATTATGCAATAAATTGAATTTTATTATTCAAAATCATATAATATTTTTGAAGTGGTAAGCCTATATGCAGCCATGATCTAAGATTGTGGAAAATTGAAATATATTGGTATTAACTTATCAATGTAGTTGTGAAAGAAAATTCAAGCTTTAAGATTTTGTCAATGGTGCTGGCAGTTAAAGTACAAGGGTTCTTTTGAAAACATGATTTAATTTGTATTAAAAAAATTAAAAAAAATTTATACTTTAAATTAATATTTTTTTTAGTGTTTTTGGATCATTTTGATGCGCTGATATAAAAAATAATTTTTTTAAAAAAGTATATTTTAATGTATTTTTATGCGAAAAACACTTTAAACTATTATCACTACCACAATTTCAAATAAATCCTAAGACCTTCACGAGTCTTTACTCCCAAATAAAATATTTGTTGAGGTTTGTGGCATTGCTAATAGAGATGGTAATGGGTACTTGAGAGTTAGATTTTTTACGATTTATGTCCTATTTATTATCTATTGGATAAAAAATTTAGATATTTATAGCCATTAGGTATCCATATGAGTATTATTATCTTACTATTATTTATTATTTAATAAATAATAAAAATAATTAATATGTGTGTGTGTTAATATTAAGATATGTATATATCATATTGTATTAAAAAACAAATCTAAATGTTCTACAAATATATTTATATAATATAAATATATGTTTTAGATTAGATTCAAGTGGGTTTTAGTTTGATAATATTCATACTTTATTCATTATCAATTGAATAAGATAAGTATCTAAAAATATTCTCATCCATTTAAGCTAAGTCAGTTGGTATTCATCAAGTTCAAATTAAATTTTTATCTTTACTTCCTAACCATGCAGAATTTTGAGGATACATGCAGTATAATTAGGTTTATTAAGCTGAAGTAGGGAATTTCTTCTACATTATACTTAGATGATTCTTGATATATCTAATAATAGAGATAATCATATCTTAATTTTCTTTTATATTCCCAACAATGAAGTTTTTTAGTGTAATAGTTGGTGGCGGCTTTGAAATTTATCTTAAAAATTTATTTTTATCTTTTATTTTTTTCTTAGACAACTAGCCCCTTTAATTTTCAAAAATCTAATTTTGATAGCAATTTGTTTTTTCAATTTTTTTATGAGATGAGAGAGAAGACTTGTCGAATTCGAGTGTAAAGAAAAAGTTGTTATTGACTAGAATTTTGACTCTTAAAATAGTTATTTTTTGTATTAATTTTTTTCATATGATAAGAGGAGTTCGAACAGAGTGTGTTTTTTTTAACCTTAAATTTCTTTTAAAAAATATATCTAAGTTTGGAAAGATTTTAGGTCTTGGGTTTCGAGATATTTTTTTTTAATGTTTTGTAAGGTCATAAATTGGTTTAACAAGGTTTTTATGATTTTTTGATTGACAAAGAGTTTTTAAATTAAAAAACATGAACCTTATTTTTTTTCAACCATCATGATAACTGAAATCTAGAAATTTTGATGCTGTGTTATCTATTTTTTTCCAAAGAAATTTGGGCGAACAATGTTGTCCGTCCTATTAACTTAAAAAAATAATAATAAAAAGCTTACATATGGGTGATTTCTTGATGGGATGACACTTTGCCTAACTTATCAGGGCAAGAAGTGTCTGATTTTATTTATTTTTATTTTTTTAAATAATATATATTTTATGTTTTTTTTTAATAATTTTTAAGTTTTAGTTTTAATTAATACACCTTCTCTAAGAATTTTTTGGTATTTTTAAATGATGATAATTTTTAATTATATTTGGTGCATTTAATTTTTAAAGATGTTAGCATGATTTATCTGTAATTATTTTTTATATAGATTAAATTTATTTTTATAATATTTTTAATATGTACAGTTATGCATGGTTTATTTTTCTTTTTATTTTATTTAATAAATTTTATTTATTTGTTGATTTCTGTTAAGAATTAATTTTAATAAACAAACTTATTAAATACAATCATGCAAATGATTTGTGTTATGATATTAAATATCTTAATATATATTTGTTTTTTAATTTTTCAGTCTCATTTTATTTATCAACAATTTATTTTTCTATTGAATTATATCAATTTTATAACATATAATGCATAATAAACATAAAATCTAGACATGTCTTATTTTTAAATCATGAATTTCACATGTAAGCCCAGTTTTGTCCGAGAAAATAATTTTCTATTTGATATTATTATTTTATTATTTTATTAAATTAATCAAGATACCAGTTATGAATTTGTCTTAATTTTTTAAAAAATATAATCATTTTCTAATTTATTTTCTTTGAAGTTAAAAATCCTTTTGGTCTGGTCCGCTGCTTCACACGGAATACCAATCTAGTTCCTAATCCAAAAAAGTTAAGGCAAACTATCAGGCCTGGAGAGATTAAGCAACGCTCCACGATAATTCCAATGGCTATCGAAAGAAAGATAGGATCATCATCATAAAATCCCATCCTAATCCTAATCCAACAAGAACGATTAAGATTATTGTTATTATTATTATTATTATTATTGTTATTGTAATTATTGTTATGGCTATTACATGTAAGTGACGAGGTAAGAATCTGATTTTTAAGTTCCTCGCAGCATTAGCAAATAAATCTATGAACTAAAAAAAATCATTTGTAAGAGGGAAACAGGATTGTTTTTTATATATTAATAATGTTATTTGCTTTTTTCTGCTTTTTTTAAAGAAAAAAAAATAATGTTTTAAGAAAAAAAATCCTGATAGCAACAGGATTGGTTAGGTTTCTAATACGAATTCAAATCTCATCAAGAATCCATGCAGGAAAGGGAAACTATCGATCAAACTTCTCTGTATATATCTGAACAGATTTAAGCAACGTTCCACAATAATTCCAATGGCTATCGAAAGGAGAGGACCATCACCGCCAAGCATTGCTAACACTGAAGCCAAGAGAAGATCATCATCAATGCCTAGATGGGATCAGCTTGTTGGTGATGTTTTACTTCCAATTCTTAACCGTCTGTCCTTCGTCGATGTTCAACGAGCCAAAACTGTTTGTTTGCATTGGAATTCTGTTGCGAAACAACTTAAACTCTACACAAAGTTCCATCGAATTCCTTGGCTCTTGATTCCTCCTCAAGATGAAGAAAGTAATGCAAGCAGCGACACCAATACCAAGCTATTCAGTATTGAAGAAGGACAACTTTATAGTAGCAAGTATAGTGGGTCAAAGGAGATTTGTTATCAGAGTTTTTGTGTTGGATCATCTCATGGATACATGATCTCCATCAACTGTGAAAGAAACACCCTTTTTGTTTTCAACCCTCTAACCGAGAAACGAACAGAACTTCCTGCAATGGACACTTTCTTGGGGAGAATAAGTGAGGATATGGATAATGGAGGCGATTACCTTATTGAATTTGCTCCTGAAGCTGCCTCAGATTCAAGATTTTATAGGGGGTGGACGTGTTCAAGACAGCTGAGAGAGCACTTTATTCAAAAGGCTATTTTGTCATGCGACCCATGTCATAATAAGAGCTACGGAGTGGTACTAATCTGTTGTCAAACCTCGAAAATCGCTTTCTGTCAGTGTGGAGATAGTGGGGCAATGTCATGGATGTATCTTGAAGGTATGGATGCCCCGTTCTATGATATTATGTGCCATGAAAATAAGCTATATGTACTCGCGAAATGTGGCAGTCTTGCTGTTTGGGACTTGGGATCTGATAGTTTTCCTGTAAGCACAAAGACCATAACGAGTCTTTTCTGGAGTGCATCATTGCGGCAGACGCTGAATGTTTCGAGTGATCTTTACACCTCCAGATTTTACCTGGTGGGATCATCTGGTGGGGTTTTGCTCGTTGTGAGGCGCATAGGGGAATTTGTTGACGAGGAAGGTAGGGTGTTGCGCGAAGGAGACTTGCTTACTGACAAGGCTGCTAAACCTTTGGTTTGTGCATACAGGACATTGCTATTTGGCTTGTTTAGGATGGATTTTGACAAGGAAACATGGGTGAGCATGAAATCGTTGGATGATCAAGCAGTATTCGTGGGAGGAAATCACTCCGCGTCAGTCTTAGCTTGCGATCTTCCAGGATGTGAAAGGAATTCTGTTTACTTCACTGATGATTACTGGGAGCGAATGAACGAGGATTATTTGTATGGTGGCCATGATATGGGTGTTTATAACTTGAAAGACAAAAGTGTCAAGCATTTTTATCAATTGGATGCACTGAAGATTCAACCTCCACCCTGCTGGTTCCTTCCAAATCCATGGTAGACCCATATCAGGAGTTTCCAGGATGGTAATTAGGCTCTGTTCTATCTGGGATGTCACTTGTTTCTTGCTAGCTTTGTCTCATGGATTGCTTCTTGTTATTTGTTGTGCTATCAACTTTCTGTAATGCATTCAACCACCGCCCTGTTGGATCCTTCCTAATCCATTATAGAGATGTACCAGGAGCTTTCTCGATTACTTCAAATAGTCTGTTTCTGCTGGCTTCTCTGCTTTCGTTTTGCTGCTGTGAAGCTCTGCTTGCTGCTACTCCTACTTTACCTCTGCCGCAGATGTTACTCAGGCTTCTGGCAGCTGGAAACAAGTTACAGCTGTGCTCTATCTAACTCTAGCTTTAGCCTTTCTATCACTTGTTTCTTGTCAGCATTATCTGATGATTTTCTTTTGGATTCGCTTGTGCTTCTTGAATAGAACTAAATCTTCAAGACAAACAAGAAATAGAACCACACTCTTTATTGATAATTTTATTGCATCTTTAAACAAAGTATACAAAAAGTACAAGGATAATCCATCACATATAAGACCGGAATCATCAATAATCTACTCAAGGACAAGTCTCTTCTCTTAATCTACAAGAACCATCTCACAACATTTAGTTTACTTTACGGCAATCTGCTCTTACTTCTCCTTTTGACCCTTCCTTAACATCAAGCAAGCTCATTTTCACCATTGCCTGTTGAAAATCAAAGAAAAACATGGCCTGGTTCATAGCATAGTTATTGACAATTGCTTTGGTTTTTGGACTATTGTATAGGGTTTGGTCTGAAAATAGGACTCCAGCTTTCCTTTGCAATGCTTGGAAGTAGAAGCTATCGAAATTATTTCTTGTGACGTCAAACGGTTGTTCTGCATTGTCTCCACCACTGCATGTTTTGGCCAATGCCTTTGAAAAGTCTGAGTCCATAGTTGGATCAACAGGGTCACTCAACCTAGTTTTGAACGATGAGCACCTTGCCACTCCCAGCGTATGTGCCCCTTCATAAACCAAGTGATGACCACAGAACTACGATGAGCACCTTGACACTCCTAGTAATTTGATAGGTGAAGAAGATGAATACTTACCAGACAAAGCAACCATGTCTTGGGCACTAAAACCACGTTGGCCAAAGACTCTAACGAGCTCAGAGGCATTAAAAGTGGGGAAAGGCAAATTGATAGTGTCTTCAATTTTAGACCTTCTTCCATCTTTTCTTCCTTTCGGTATGTCATACACTGGACCTCCTGACTGTGATTCCCACCATCACCAGACAATTCATATATCAGTAGATGCTAAGCATTGGAAGAAGAAGAAGAAATAAAAAACAGAATATTGAAAGAATTTTGTTACCCAAGAAACAGCCTCTCTAGCAGCCATTGCAACGATATCAGCACAGGAGACGACACCGGGGCATTGGTTTTCAAGTTGCTCCTTTACATCATCAATTAATTCAAAGCCTCTAACACTCAGATTTCCTGGAGAATCCTTCTCTGCTGTGTTACCCTTTGTTGAGTCCAGTAGGATAGACCCATCACATCCCTATTTCAAGTTATTTCAACAGTCAAACACAGAGAGATCATTGGACACTCTTGCTGGTATGTGCAATGAGAGTGTAAACAGTTAAAGAGGGAAAAGGGTTGATTACTTGTATCCAGCAATCATGAAAATGCATTCTAACAAGAGCAGCTGCTAAGGTAGGATCAGACTGCAAAGCACTTGTCACTGTGCTCCTTACAATTGGCTCAGCTAACGGGCAATTGAAAACATAGTAGTTCATGCTCAGGCCATCTGCTCCAAATCTATAACCACCTGCTATTAACTCCATCAATAAGACCACACCTAGAAAATTAGCCAAAACCATCTTTGATGGCTTCGAAGGGAACTCTCTGAGCAGTGTATGGCGAAGGCTAAGAATGCAATGGGAGAGACTTGGAAGCAGCTAGGTTGATTGAAGGGTGAAGAGGAAGTTAGCAATGTGTTCATGTATATATAAACGTGAATGATTGGAGAAAGGTTGCCCCAGAGAGACAAGTAAATTTTGGACAATGCATGCAGGGCTAGAAGATAGTGGATCTATCATTTTCTCCACCTAATTACGATAGTCTAGCTAGCTAGTTGTGATTAATATAAATTATAACAATCTTGCTTACTTTGTGTCAATTATAGATTAAATAATGCGTGCTGATTAACACATGAATTTGCATGTAGATGTAGGGAGACACGTAACAAGGTCACAACAATTAGTGTTCCTTGAATATTCGATCCTAGACAAGTTAACCATGATGCCTGCTTTCAAACCATCATCATCGTACATGCATATAGGAACATTGGATTCGAATGAAATTGCTCAAGAATGGCGACAGAGTTCATAACCCTTTTCTTTAATCAATAGAGAGTTCAATTAGCATTAGCATTCGTATCCTTGGATTTGACCATCATCTTCCGAGAAAGAGGTGTTAATTTCAAGTACCTTCTTTTTTAATTGAAAATAATTAAGGCAAAAATATAAAGTTGTTGTTAGCTATTGTTTTAAAACAGAAGACATAGAGACAGTAATAATAGTAGCATGTTTGATTGAAAAGATAAAAATAAGGATATTTTTGTGAAAATTTTAGAATTAATAATTATATCCTCTGAATAGAAAATATATATGAAAACATTTTTTTTCTATCTTTGCTATCACTTTTTTATTATTATTGCTTCAAAATAGTAAATAATACTAGAGAATAATATAAATTATATCTTAAAATATTATTTAATAACTTAAACTTTTGGGTTGAATTGATTTTTTGATATGGTATTAAAATGTTAATGATCAAGCGATTATAAATTTGAATTTCACTATTTTTATTTATTTGATAAAAATTAAGTATAATATAATATAATTATATACAAATTTTATATTAAAAAATAATATAAATTATATTTATGCTTTCGTGATGATGACGACGACAACACGAGGGATTAATTTGGTGGTAAAAAGAATTGTGCTATTTCTTTACCAAAACAAGGCTCAACTGTGGTAGTATTAAATTCTTGACTGCTGCTTTTACTCAATTTTCTCATAACCCCATTAGTTTTTTCTTAACCATTGTTATTCTAGAACAATGACTTGTTTGGAACTGCATCTTATTCACATTGATTAACTCCTTGACCAACAACTAAATAGACTAAACTAATCTAGAAAAATCTCATCACAGCAAAACCTTGTTACTTTGTCAACTCCCAATTCGAGGTAAACCTCCCCACTTATGACCTAACAGAAGTATCCATGCTGAAGTAAAACCTTAAACTAGTTGATTAGAAGTTTGTGCGAGCTGGTTGACTCTGAATGGTAATGATCAAGACTTTGAATATAATCACTAAAAAAGACTTGGCACCGTGCAAGATTCAAACAATATATTAATGAAAACAGAGTGACACAATGACTTGTGTGTGATGGAGGAGGGGGGAGGCAATGTTACCCACGTGGATCAAGACTCGGTGGGGGGGTGGCGGTGGGGGATGCAGCTGGTTTCCATTTGAAAGAAAAAACAATTACAATGGAGCACGAAGTGGAGGAAGCTTCATATGCAATCAAAAGCTTCTTTTTGGGCATGAGATTTCAATATGCTTTCCTGAGTGCATTGGACACGGAGTGGTGGTGCCATCTTCTCACCCTGTTTTTATAATTTCTTACTTCCATTTTCTTTGTGAGTGCTTCTCACACTCTTTTTTCTTTTTCTTTTTTGGATTCATGTGATTGGTATCCATTTTCTTCCGAGCAATCTTGATATTTTTACTGAAGCTCTCTCTTATAATTCCTTGACAGTTTCCCTATAAAACGTGCCAGCTTTTTTTACTAAATAAAATTATATTTCGATAAGAACATGGATGGGGAGATTTAATAGAGAATTTATGAGGTATAGAAATAAAATTGGTACAGTACATGGATGGAGGAAGCTGGAGGTTTCACTTTTCCCTCCTGTTTTTGGTTTTATGTAAAGCAGACCCCTCCTGCTAGGGTCAACGACATAGCCACTTTCCCTTTAGTTCGATGTCAAATATTCAACACCTGCTCCACTTTCAAGGAATACGCACGCACGCATCAAGCCAAACAAATCCACTTTCAAGGAATACGCACGCACGCACGCACGCATCAAGCCAAACACAATCAGTCAAAAAACTCCCCATCCATCCTACACAGCTAATCGAGGCAGGGATCAAGCAGGTAAATACGAATTCACAGTTGACATCCATGCTAATTCCTTCTTTTTTAGACTTGGTTAGGGTTTATGTACAGAAAAGACAACAACACGCCAGACCAGCGCTGGAAAGAGAGACCACAACTGCATTTGATGTGTACATATTCACCCTAGCATTGGAGGAAAAACTAGCCTATGAAAACGATGGAAAAGAGAACATTTAAAGCCTCTTGATTTTTGGAGGCATCCTCTTTCCACAGCTTCTGCCATTGCCACCAACGTGGTAAGTTATCGTCTCTTCAGAGGCTGGATCCTCTACATCTAAGACAGACAAACTTGGTAGGCACTGAATCGGAATCCGGAATGCCAGAACACCTGGTGTGTTGCCACACTCCACAGACATCACAAGCTAACATTCTCTCTCCATCATCGTCTTTTGCCCCACAGCAGCAGTCCACAGTCCATCCCTCGGTTCCTCTTTCCATTCTAAATTTACCAAGACCATTTTTTCCAAGGCATCTCCCTCGGAGCTGAACAGATTCAGTTGACCCTATCAGGAGCTTGACCTGGGTGGAATCATCAACACCACTATAGCCGAGAAGCTCTTCAGCATGGAATCTTCTGAACATCAAATACACATCTTGAAACGCCCTGGATGCTTCTCGCTTGAGATCAAATACTGTAGCACTTGAAGGCAAGACTACTGTTTCTGGGGGGAGATTTGGGACATTTTCTTCCAACCGATCAACAATCACCACCTCACATGACAGGGATATAGAATTTGGTACAGACACCACCGTTGTTTCGCACTTGTTGTAGTCCTTCATGAACTGCTTGCAGTCCAGAAGTTTCCTGGCTGAGATGATCCGAGCATCACTTGTGACCTCATGTCCAAAGCTCAACATTGTTTGAGGGAGTAGCATGTTTTCATAAAGGAATCTCAGGTCCTGTATAAGGTTTTCTTCAGAAGGGCAGTTAATGACAGAAGAGCCAATGGCAGCAGCAGAGCTATTTAAGGTAGGATTTCCAGGTTCCAGTCTGTATCAAATTGGAACACAAAGTTAATACAATGGCACTGCACTGAAAAATTGCACTACATAAAATTCGAAGCAAATAACAGGACCTCCCAAGGGAAAAAGGGGTTTAGATCTCAGCCCTAATGATTAACAATACCATCCAGCTCCATCATAACCCTGAACTCAAATTGTTTTTTCTTTTTTTTATCATTTTCCAAAACATTGTTTTCCCAGAAAAGTGAAATAATAAAAATTACTTTCAAAACCATTCATGTCTTTCCAAGATCCATTTCGTGCACAAAGAAGATGATTGCTATGTTGACCATTAGTTTAATCATAGCCAAATTAGAATAAGAATAGGATATTGCAGTTCATATAATAAAACTGGAGGACTGCCGGACAGCCAGAAAACCTCTTCAAATTTTAAGTTGTTCAATATATGCCAATCATGAATCAAGTAATGGATAGATTAACTGCTAACCTGTAATCAAAAGCACCTGAACTAGGATTGCATCGAGAGCTAACAATCATTCCATCAGCTGCAAATTTCCCTCCAAGTTCTTTCAGGCAATGATCAAGGAGCTCTGGAGGAGCCACTTTGAAAACTGCGCCTCTTAGTGCACGCCAACTTACCCAGTTGGACCCAGACACCGCTCGTAGTACTCTAAACATGGCTTCTTCAACACGTTCAATATCACCCCGAGTCCATGAAGGAGAAATCCCCGGTGCATAAAAAGGACACTTCTTGCAACTAGAATCATCAACCCCTGAGGTAGACTTGTGAGCATCGTGGATCAAACTTGTCAAATAACAGAAAAGATCTCTAGTATTTACAAGCTCATGGTCTGACAAAGATTGGTAAAACTTTATTGTGTCCTGCAAGCGAGTGCGTGTTTTCTGTCCTTCGGAAAGAAAGATGGACAAAGGAAGGCTGGAGAGTGTTTCAACGGCTGACTTGTAGGCATCAACTGTCAAACCAAAACTGCCAGCACCAAACTCATAGCCCCAGTCACCATACCACGAATGGCCTTTAGTGATAGCATGAAGTAGCCTGTACTCTATACCATACTTCTTTGATACATCCATCACACTGACCTTTCTGTTAATGCATGGAAAAAAGACAAAATAGTATTCCCAGCTACAATTAGATGAAATCAGGAGGCTAACAGGATTCATGCTACCATACAAGAAAACCAACATCCAACAAGATTAAGAGAGAGTATAAAATATCAACTGTGTTTTGATCTCCAGAATAATATGTACAAAACCCTTGATTTCAAGAGAAGCATAAAGCATTCTATCTACCAAATCACTAGACAAATTACAACTTCCACAAAATCCACACCAAAATGAATTAACAAAAATGAACATTTCAATGACCCAAAAGAACAGCCCCATAGATGGCTTCCACAAATTTCAGCCCTTCCATAGTTATGTTTGTCTTTTACGAGTAGCAGCCCAAAACATCAACTACTTGTCTCAATCTCCCCATATTCAAATTCTCCTAGACCATGAAATATCTTCCAAAGATAACATCTACTTAGAGGGTATTTGAGAGCGGGTATTTGAGAGTGTGGTAATAGTTGCTATTCAAAGTGTTTTTCACTTAGAAATGAATCAAAATAATATTTTTTTATCTTTTTAAAAAAATCATTTTTTGACATCAACACATCAGAACGATCTAAAAACACACAAAAAAGAATTAAGTAAAATAAATAAATAAACTTAATTTTTTCAAAAATACTTTTGAAACGCAAAAACAAACGGGGTCTCTAGAGAAACACACTGAAGAGCTGAAGGTTCATGTAGAGAACTCCAATAAATATTTTGAGCTAGCAAATATTAGAAATCATCTTCAACTTAACAGAACAGTCTCACTAAGTAACAAGCATGAACCTGAGAGCTGAAGGTTTATGTAGAGAACTCTGACAAAAATTATGAGCTAGCAAATATTAGAAATTAATTTCAACTTAACAGAACACTCTCACCAAGTAACAAGCATGACATTGAAATGCAATAGAGAAATCCTAACCTGACTCCAAGACTTTTACATAACCGATCCCAAAAGTCCATGATATGGCATCCAGAAAGGACCCTGGAGCCCCCTTCTTTGCCATTTACCCTAAGAAGGTGCCCGTAACCATTTGCATGGATGACCCCGTGTAAAAGATGAGTGGTGTCTTCCAACTGGTGAAAGACCCACTCTTCTACATCATCTGCAGTTATTACATGGTCACATGCCTTGCACCTAAAATAGAAAATTCAGAAGATCATCAAAAGCCACAAAAATGATGCAGATAAAGTATTAACTTCAAATCAACCAGGGTTATCAACAGGTATGATATTAGCATTAATCCCAGCATGAATCAAGTTCAATACACCAATGTATCAAAATTCAGTTCCACAAAGCAATATGTAAAAGCTATTAAAACAGATCTAGTAAATTGTATCTTCAAGCAAAACTATGGGGCAGATAAAGGGTACTCGTGAGATTGTTAAAAGATAACCTATTTCCTTGGTCGGCTATCCCCAGACCACAAACATACATTTTTTACATAAACAATCACAAAAAGAAAATTATAGCTTAACAGAGATCAACATAATGTACCAGCACATAATTACTGTATATCATAATAAGCATGAACGTTGCATTAATAGCATACAGTACTAAATTATGCCAAATAATAAAAGAACAAGTTACCACGTTCAACATACTATCACAATCAATGCTAAACAAGGCGAAGCTGAGGATAACTAAGGGTTCTCACCTTGATTCAGGCAAATGCAGGATGTCTCCGCAGCAAGTGCATGGCTTATGATACCCACCAATGGAGTTACCGTCACCTTTAATGATAAAATGGTAACGCTTACTGCATACTGGATGTTCACTCCAACCTACAACGCAGAGGAAAAAAACAACACATAAGTAACACAAGCAAAATCTAAACAATCACAATACTATTTTCTAACGCAGAAAATTCGAAATACATAATCGGGCAATGACAGTGTAAGTACAAAAAAAAAAAAAACACTTTTCACCTTCTAAGTCCATCAGATGACATTATGTTCAACTAAACACGTAATGAGTTAATCTATCACCCACAATTTTTTCCTCAGCAAGCAATCAAACAGTCATACTCCAAAGTGGCCCCGTGTTTAACCCCGTAACATCATCATTCTTTCATAAGCTACAAGATTGAGTCCACTCATCCATCTTTAGAATACCAGTTTTACATTATGGGAAAACAAAAAAAATCATTCCATGGCCAGCATTACACACTTCTAGACGCATCAAAAACATTCAAAAAAGGAAATTAAATTTGGTCAACTACCAAGCACCAACTAACCCAGTTGAGACCACAAAAAGAAATATCCTATTCAAAGACAACAGTACCGTCAACTCATTATCCATTCAACAACCAAGCATTATTGCCCAAGCAACCGGAATAGTCAAAGCACAACATGGGTTTTACAACCAAAAACAAATTCATGATCCCCATCAAAAGAAGGCTACACAGGTGCATGCACCATACGGTCCCACCAAAACTAAACCAAAGGCTGGTCACCACAACGAGACAAGCAAGCATGCTGCATTACCCGCCAAAAAACGCTGAGAATAGCTGTCACGCAATAGCACCCATCCAAAAAAAAAAAAAACCAACAAAAGCAGGAACCCAAAACGAGCCACGTGTCAAAAAATGTCCATCCTAACTGAGATAACATTAATCAACACCAGATCATTGTCTTTTGTCATTATTGCTCTGGGCCCCACATAACCCGCCCTTCCAAGGCACACAAAACCGCCACTTTCTCACGATAAGTTACCATCTTCTCGTTCACTCATTCAATAGACACTCTCACGAGACGATAACGTGATATGGCGCGGTATTTTATTTTTTTATTTATTTTACACATAAAGAAAAAAAACAAACAAGAGAGAGAGAGAGAGAGAGATCTCGAGTTTCCCGCCCCGACCAGTAAATGGCAAGGAAAGAGAAAGCATGAAGGAAAAAGAACGCGTTTTTCAGTAACTCGAGCTAACTCACCAACAACTCGACACTGATCACAGTAAACAGTTCTAGATCTAGCCACATCCTCCTCCACCACATCCAAAGAAACCACCGCCGACCCCGCCTCTCCACCACCAGATTCCACTAAGTCACCGACTCGAAACGAGATTTGCCATGTGAGCAGATGGGGGAAAAGCGAGGAGGGGGGAGGTAACAGCGCGTGTTCAGTTAAAAACGACCTGACGTTGGATCTGAAAGGACCGCGAGGTGGAGGAAGCGAGGAGGATGCAGGGAAGGTGAGGAAGTTATAGAGATCAGCTGTGACTCTCATCTTCATCCTCTTAATTGGTCTCCCGTTTACAACCATGTCCGTTACGGCGGCGCTTGAAGGTAAGGGAAGTCAGGAATGTTCTAGATCTGGTAGATCTGACGGTGGAGATTAAAAGAAAAGATTAGAGTGAAAGGAAGAGTTCTAGTGATTAGTATGAGAGGGGGAAAACGAAACGTTTTGGGGGTGTGGGGGGAAGTGGGGGGGGCGGGGGGACTTGAGTGACTGTGACTTTGGATTTCAGAACAGCGCGAGTTGGATTAGCATCTGTCCTTTTGATTTAGAGGAGAAATCCTAGCCGCTAAGAGCGCTGACTGGTTCTAGACGTTTACCACAAATATCGAGGTCTTTCATGGAGAGTTACTGTGTTGCCCTTTATGGAGGGAACCAGGAAGTTTCGTTGATATTTTAGTGGTGTTTCGTTGATATTTTAATTGTGCATTGTTATTTTTTAAAGTTTGTTTTTTCATTAAAAGTATATTAAAATATTTTTTTTATTTTTAAAAAGTATTTTTTTATTAATTTAAAGTAAAAGAAATAAAAATATTTAAATTTTTGAAAAATATTTTTAAAATATAAAAATAAACAGTTTTACATATATATATATATGTTAAAAAAAAAAGAAGCAAGAAAGACATGATTTCTTATTCATAAAAGTTATTATTATTTAGTTTGAAGGATATCGAGACAATGCTTCAAAAGAAAAGGTTTAAGAACCGAATTGAAAATTCTTTTCGCACTACTGCAATGTTTTAGCGACGCGATTATATTTGGTGTTTTAGATTATTTTTTATTTTAAAAAATATTTTTTATTTTTTATATTTTAAATATTTTTTAATTTATTAATATTAAAAATAATTTAAGTATTTTTTATAAAAATATTTAAAAAAACAACTTTTAAACTTCTTTGTAATCTCAATTAATTTATAAATTAATTCAAATATATTTTTTATTATTTAAATATATAAACAAAAGATTATAATTATTGACATGTAAAATAAATTAAAAATATATTTATTACTTAATAAAACAAAATATTAGCCAGTATAGTATTGATTATATCATTAAAAAGAATAATTGACATAAAATATCTGAATAATTTTTGTATTCAATGTTAGAAGTTGAAGAAGGATAACACTTGCTAAATAAAATCAATATAAAACAATAATTTTATTTGTATAAAAATCAATGAAGAAGTTAATTTAATAATGTATGATTATGTTAAAAACTCAAGTTGATGTTAAGAATTATTTTTTTAATTATGACTTTATATTATATTTTAGATTGGATTTAATAATTATGATGTCATTCTTTTAATTGTTTGGAAAAATAATAAGATGACGAAACAGAGTATAAGAATCTCTAGCTAACTAGCTTGTAAAGGGAAAACAAAACAAATTAACGTCGTCACGTTTGTTTGTTCAAGAAATTAAATTTTTATATATTTATTTATTTATTATTAAAAAAATTAATTAAAAAAATATTTTGTAATTAAAAAAAATTTAGCTTAATTTCTAAAAAAGTATTTTTTAAAAAAATTGAATAGAAAACACTTTTTTAGAAGTGATAAAAAATTAGAAATATCATATTTTTTACTGATTATATTAAATTTGGTTTTGAAACTTTTGATTGCTATATATATTTTATTTTAAATATTTATTATTTAATTTCATCTCTTAAAATTTAATTTTTATATTAATTTTGATCTTCGTTTTTATAATTATTATTTGTTTTTTTATTATTTTTTATTGAAATTTTTCATATATCAAAGAACTAAATACTGAAAAATATTTTTCAATTTTTTTTTTGTAACTAAATACTGAAAAATATTTTTTAATTAATTTTTTTTTGTTACACTACCCAATATTAAAAAATAATTCATTTTTTTAATTTATTTTTTTAAATTTTTAAATTTATTTTTTTTTAAATTATTTTACAGCAAATTAACAAATTAAAAGATGACAACGTGGTTCATGCTCACAAGCAAAACCGTCTTTTAACTTTTTCTACAAAGGAATTAGGTGCGTGGTGGATGGATGATAATCTCTTATGCATTCCTGAAAAGAGAAACAAGAATGTCTGAACTTGTAGAGATGCATGGTGATCACCAACCCAGGCATATATGTTTATATCTTGCTCGAACGGTGTCATGGAATCGTCGCCGCCGCCACAATTTCAAGCTATGTATGTTTGTGTTCGGAGACTCCTAGGTTGATGTTGGAAATAACAACATACCACCTCAACTCATTGGCAATGCCTAACTGTATATGGAGTTGATTTTGATGGTGGACCAGCTGGAAGATTTTTGTAATGGCAAGACCATCATTGATCCTCTCCCTCTTCAAGCTAAATTGATGATCATTGAATTCTGAATCTCTCCCGTGTATTGCATCCTCGTATCTGGGCCTTAACTGCAGAGTACTAGGTTGATGTTGGAAATAACAATATGCACACTCTCTCAACAGCAGAAAGCGTTCTGAGTGGAGTAAATTGTGCTTCAGCAGCAGCAGCAGCAGCAGGATTCTTGATGATGCCATGCAAAAATCTCTAGTAATTAATATTTACCTAACTAATCTTATAAAGTCCTGCCTTCTTAGAAGGGTACAAGGAGATAGGTATACCTTAAGCCAGCCACCATGTGCACAATCTGGAGAGTGCCTTGAGCCAATTGAAGAGGATAATGGATGGCAAGCAATTGAGGCAGTTCTTGGTAAGGTCACCGGTTGCAGAGCAATTAAGATTGTCAAAAATATTTTTTTTTCATATGACTCGAAATATATAATATAAATTTGAATGATAAACTCGAATCGTAAAATTATAAAATTATAAGTAAAATATTTTAACTAATTATCTATTAATCATTTCAATCAAGTAGTAAATAATAATATAACACAATTAAAATAAAAATAAAATAAACAATATAAATATTCAAACATCTTAAAACACATGATTTAAATAAAAATTTATACATGGTTTAAATAACTTAACAATATAATACAATTATATCCATAAAATTTTATTAACTAAAAATTAACAAATTTAAAACAAACAATCTGATGGTATCATGTGACTAAACATAATCTCATTGTTTTTTTCCTCATTATTTCTAAAATGTTTATTAAAATTATTACCATATAAAAAATTATTATTATTATTATTAGTATTAATATCGATATTGTGAACATTAATGCTGTTATTAATATAGAAAACTGATGATAATCTATTTTTATTTTTATTTTTATTTTTTATAGAATATATATTTATATTTAAATTCAATTTAATTTTATCGATCAATTTAATAATTCATTTATTTATATTATAATTTATATTAAGTCTTATATTAAATGCGGTGAGAGTTAATTATATAATAGCTAAAATGAAAAAAATTGAGTACACAAATGTTGAAATGACATTTGAAGAATTAAATTAAATCATCATAATTAAGAATTAATTTTTTTTTTAAATAAATCTATACAAATTATAGGCCAAGTGGCCCTGGTATAAAAGGAAAGCAAAACGTAACGCCTCACTGTTTTGAGTCTTTTTCTTACCAAAATATCCTCCGCTTTATTTCCTTTCTCTGACCCCGCCTCCGTCTCTCATTTGGAATCCAAATAATAAAAATTGGCTCTTCACAGAAGGTGAATGGTACGACGGGGAAAGCCTGCCTAGCAAAGTCAAGCTTGGAAAAACCACTTTTTGGATGTTGCTCTTCAGAGAGAGCTTAATAGAGTGTGGAAGACTGGAAGTTGTGGTGTTGCTATGGCAAAAGAGAAAAGGGAAATGGGAGTGGGACCCGGGAGGGACTCAGGGAGAGCATAGCAAAGTCAGTACATTTTGTGAATTGTAACTTTTATTAATCTCAGTTAACCGAGTTTGATTGAGTTTAATTAAATTTAACTGAATTTGTTTATTTTCAAGTTTTTAATCTGGTTTTATATGTTATATATAACTTAATTTATAAAATTATATGATTTTATGAGAATTAAATTATATATTTTCAAGTTTTTAATCTGGTTTTATATATTATATGATTTTATATATTATATATAACTTAATTTGTAAAATTATATGATTTTATGATAATTAAATTATGAGTTTAATAGCATTGATTGCAATAATTATATTAGAAACTCATATAATAATTTAAATTATTTGATAGATATAATTTTTTAATATGATATCAGAGATTTGATAACCTAGTAGTTATGAGTTCGAATTCTATTATATTTATTTATTTATTTATTTAATAATGTAAATTTGTACAAGTTTCAAGTTTAAATAACTTTCATTTAAATAAATATTAACAAATTATATAAATTATATCTTAAAATATTTTATAACAATTTAAATTATTAAATTAAATTATATAATTCTTCAAGAGTTATTGTACACCCTACCAGTTATAGACACTTCCAGCCTCAAAGACTTGGCTCATCTTCTACCAAGCAACAACATTTCACAATTTTTGCATACGGCAATACTTTTGGAGCATTCACTCAAATAATAAAAAATCCTGAATCTTATGGTTAAGGACCTTCAATGTTTATAAACATACTATTCATCAAAGAACATTAATTTAATGTTTTATTATTTAAATGAATTTTTATAAAAATATATACACCGTGTTATTAATTACATATTAATGCTATACAATACAATCTATGTATTTCAACAACACAAAAAAAAAAAAAAAAAAAGGGGGAAACAATGAAAAAGGCCATGTGAAAAAAAAAAGTTTCACCACAAACGCCTGGATGTCAACTAAAATCGATGACTATTGCCTCTGCATCAATATTCTTCTCTGACGAATTATTTCATCACAAACTCTCCTACCACCACAAAAAAATGACCAAGGATGGTTACTTTCAATTATTAATGTCCCTGTTTCCTTACACCAAAGCATACAAACTGATGCAGAAATGAGACATTAGGTCTTGATACGAGAGAACATGAGCATCAATAGAACTTTTAAGGATAATACAAGCCCAAGAAAGAAAAAGATCACTTGCGCACCGGCAAAAAACAAGTAATTACCCTCGAACAAAGCATAC